TAAACAAAGGATATAGGCTATTTATGGATAATTGGTACAATTCGGCTCTATTAGTTAGATTTCTGAAGGTCTATGGTAGCGACTGCATTGGTACCTTGAGATCTTCTCGTAGAGACGTTCCCATTATAACAAATAAGGCTCCTCTTAAAAGAGGCGAGTTTATAGCGAGACATTTAGGCGATTTCTCTGTATTATCGTGGCAAGATAAGAAACGAGTAAAATAATAATAAAATAAATAATAAATAAAAATAAAAATTGTTTATTGTACAAAAATTTCACAATATTACATTCACAGAAATGCGACAATTACATGAACGAGTGTGAATTACGATCGATACTGACACTGCTCTCCAAACTAAGCTATAAGCTTGTATTTTGGAAAACAGTGATTCAGGCCTGGAGTATGTCACAAAGTCGCATTATATGTTATTCTATAATGAAGTGAATGTCATGAAAGTGAATGAATGAAATGGAAGGAGCTGTAATCCAAAACCAAAAATAATAAAATATAAAGGGAAAGTTAAAAGGACTACTTAGGTTAATATTCCGGAATTTTGTGTGTGTGTGTGTATGTGTGTGTATGTGTGTGTGGTGTGTGTGTGTGTGTGTGTGTGTGTGTGTGTGTGTGTGTGTGTGTATGTGTGTGTATGTATGTGTGTGTCGGTTATGATATATACGCAAGTAAACCTTCAGTTTCGTTGTAATCCATTCCATGTAACCAAGTAACCATGATTTCCACTTGTCATGGTTCAGCTACTGCCTTGCCTACAGTTCCGTCGCATCGACCACATCGTCCAACACCATTCAAACCGCAGGTGGTGTTGAACTATAATAAGTTCATGGGTGGGGTGGACATGAAGGACCAAATGCTCGAGCCTTATTTAATAGAACGAAAACGTTGTGCCAAATGGTACATGAAACTTTTTAAACGCTTGCTTAATGTGTCTATTCTCAATTCTCGCATTCTTTTAGAGTCATCTTCACATAAACGTCATAACCATTTAGTTTTTCGTCTTAGTCTTGTAGATTATATCCTCACGAATCATCTTTCACATTGTCCACAAAATAGTAGGTTTACTGTTTCTACCAGTAGATCTACGCACCAACAGCCGCCGAGAATAATTCGTTCTACACATTGGCCTGTTCTGCTAGAACAGACAGAGTGCGCAGCAGCAGCTTACCGTAATTTCCAACAGCGCTGCGTTGTGTGTCTTTAAAATAAGACGGCACAAAAGACGCCATACTGCTGTGACACCTGTAAAGTGCCACTGTGTATAACGAATTGTTTTAAATCATACCATACGTCACATTAGTAATGCTTTGCTTTCTCTTATTTCAGTTCTTTCCAAATATTCAGAAATAGTTTTATTTTATGGAAAACAATGTAAGGTTTGAGTGTACAGGATGCCTGCATGTTATGATAGGTATTTTATGATTTCGGAGTGCAGTGCAAGGTGTTTGGAAAATATTTGGGGATTTTATTGTACATTTATAGATTGTTTTACTATTGAATTGCTGGCTGATTACGGATCTCTGACTCTGCTGTGAACTTTTTACAGCAGTGGTCGATTGAAATCATAAAATTGTTACTTTCGAGATTGTTTTACGTTTGTGAATAAGAGATTGACAGTTTCAGTTACTAATAAAGTCCTATAAAAATAAAATCCAACTGAGAGTAATCTTCTTCATTTTATCTACATGATTTTATTCACAGTTACATAATCAGCCTTCTGACTATATAATTTGTGTGTATTGTGTGCATGTGCCTGGTTGTGGAAATACTTCGAATATTATTATAAGAAGTGTTCTATCTATCTAAAATAAATGTCTTTTTAACTCAACAAGTTTATTACACTGTTACAGTTTTACAATTCATTTTATGTGTGGAAGGACGAAATTTTTATTCTATTGATAACGTTATTTTATTGTTTTAAATATTAAACTGCTCCAACTTTAAAACTGTATAAAATTATATGGATTGATGTGTGTGTGTTTGTAATATCATTTTGCGTACATACATGTAAAAAAAACTTGAAAATATTGGTGTGTATCGTAATTATTGGTTCAACACCTCATATTGTTGTAGGTCAAATTATTAGTCTAAAATTAAAAATGTTATGGTTTTAAACCTCTTAATATTATAAACGCGAAAAATCATTATGTACCTCTATGTTCAAAGGATATTTGTGACTCTTTCACGATTAAATTAGGAATTACGTATTTATAAAAAAAAAATTACGTATTTACCCAGAATTCTTACTTTAATAATTAATTTCTTACTTTATTTTATTTTTTATTTTTATTTATTTGGACTCCCAACAAAAGATACACTTACATGCAAAAAAAAAATAATCCGCCACACGTTACAATATAACCTTGTGATCCTTCAATTAAAGGGAATCACATAATGCCTGTTGGAGATGATGAGACGGCCCGCCCGGCGAATAATATTATTTTAAGTTAAATGTCATGTTAGTGAAACATAATGTTTTTTGTTATAGGTAACATAATGTTTATTATAAGTCATTAGTACAGACAGTGTATTGATTTGTGTTTGGATTGATTAAATAGTCTGTGGAGCCTCAGCGCGGCATGTTCAAACGGACCAATCGCGTTCGCGTATTTTATTTCGGCGCATGCCCGCACGGCGGCGCGCGGAGCGGTGGCGTTCCGCGTCCTGCGTCCGCCATACTTTTTTTTGTTCAGTTCACACGTTTGTACCCGACGACCAAGACGCCCACGCGTGGTTGCACGCGCAGAGATGCATGCCCGCTGATCGCTCCCAGTTTAAATCAATAACTGTAGTTTCTCATTTCTTCACCTCGCGCGCACCCGCATCGGCCACAATGCCCATACAAACATTTATAACAATTGAATGAAATTATATTAAATTAAATTACAGAAATGTCTAGAAAAATCAAAAGAAATAGTAGTAAAATCTTAGCACGGTCATAGGTTCCGTTCCCGTCATGGTACAGAGTCAATGATGTCACCATGTTACTCGTTGATTTTTCATCTATCCGTAAGTGAAAGAATTTCGGAAATCGGTGTATTTTGAGGTGATCTATTAAAGTGTAAAATGATTAAGTCGTGAGAGACTGGCGGTATATAAACCTGTGGTCAGCAATACATTTTATGATTATTAACTTGACTTACTATTTAATGGAATTTTCTCAACATTAAATATTTTTGTGCAATATTTTGTAGTACCTACACAATAACGAGCCACAAGTTGTACGTATAATGCTCTGTTATACCGCCCGCGACGTCTGCCGCGCGGTCCTAAGTTTAGTTCTCCTATGATTACAACAAAGAGTAAAGTAGCCATGTTACTCGCTGTAATTTCAACTTTCTATATGTGAAAGAATTTTGAAAATCGGTGCATTTTGAGTTGATTTAGTAATACAACGTACAAATAGGCACAGGTACAGACAGCGCATGCGCCAACACGTTGTTTTGGAGTCCGGCATCATCAACATCGCGCCTTTATATCATAATAAGTTTACTAATAATATGTAACTGCATTTATTGTATTAGGTGTGTCTGTAATGATGAATGTAATGTTTAAATATAAATAAATAAATAAATAAATAATAGATGTAGGCAGAGTTGTAAAATATAACTTAAGAGCAACACATATCGACTGCCTAGTTACTCTAATGGTCACAAGTATGACCACCAAACAAGGGGTCTCGGGTTCGATTATCGGATCAAGCTAAGTAAAAACAAAACAGTTTCAGCGCGGAATGTAGAATTGCACCCAGTATATGGTAACAGAACATGACCATAAAGTTCGTAATATAACTGGTAAAAAGTTGACGTTATATTGAATATTACGTCTCTGCCTACCCCATCAGGGTAAATTATCAACAGTAAATAATGAGTTCATATTGCACTCAACCATAAGCCACAAGTTTTATAAACAAATACATATACAGGGTCACTGACCCCTACATCGATACTTCGGCCGCCACTTCAGCCGCGCGGTCCTATGTTTCGTTCCCGTATTATACAAGTTAAAATACTGTAACAAGTTTTTCGCTGAAATTTCAGCTTCCTACACGTGAAAGAATTATTTAAATCGGTACATTTTGAGGTGATCTATTAAAGCGCGGTTATATTGCACGCGGGTAGGATAGCGCATGCGCGACCACTTAGTCACGGCGACGGCGATGCTCTCCTTTAGTATTACGCTTATTGTGTCTAAACGGTATTAGCAGAGTTGTAGATAATAATATTACATGGAATTGGAAGGATTATGACAGATCAGTATCCTGGCATCAATTCAGTAGACTGAATTTAAGGAATCTGTACAGGAGAATTCAGTCAGTTATGCAAAGGCAAACAAGCTGCTAGGTGACAAGAGGACCGTCACACTTACGAGCCAATGACAGATTACAAAATCGGACTGTCAACTACACCTAGTTTTCGAACCCGAAATTAAATGTCAAAACTAATATTTTCGTTGGCCACACTGTAGCAACAAAGGTTGCAACATTATTTGAAAATTCAAGGTTAAAATAATATTTTTCAAAGTAGTGATATAGTATTAAGTATATTTATTTTATATTATTCACTATTTTAAAAAAAACTGGTGTATCGAGTAATTACGTTACATTAAACAAAAAATAAGAATCTATGAAAAAAGGAAAAAATTATGACAAGTTTCTTGTCAAATGAGATAACATTGTTTTTCGTAAAAAAAACAACTTGCATCTAAATAACAATAATTTAATAAAGGAATTTACATAATAATAAAGGAATTTATTTCTCTCAAAAAGGTACAAACATAGAAACATAATATCACTATTTAAGTCACATAAAGTTAATATAAATAGTCACATAAATATTATATATGTTTTATATGTGCCCATTTTTACAGTGACTTCGAGAGACCTCCATTTACATATAAATACATATAATATACATACTTTTTTTAAGGGGGAAAATCATCGAATGACTGCTCCCACCTGGGTGAGGCGAGAGGGAGTGTCAGACTCTTACTGACTAAAAACTACCCCGTTCCTTCTCCTGCACGTCGAGCCGGAGCCCCGGTTACCCGTTAGGTTCTCCGCGACAATATACATTTAAAATAATGACCAAATTGTGTGCATTTGGCTGTGCCCGCCAAACCGGTAAGTTTTACATAACACAAAACTCATTGGCTGGAATACATTACTGGATAATTTTATAATTTACTAGCTGTTCCTCGATAACATGAATCATTCTTATTTTTTTTAAATTTCAGACGTGCCTATGCATCGGTTCCCAGTCGCCAACAAGTTCCCAGATCAATTCAGGGCTTGGGTGGAACTTGTTGGCGGAAAATTAACCTCCGTCACAGACTACGAATTTTACCAAAAAAAAAGTAGTCTGTGACAAACATTTTACTACCGGGGATCGTAACCGCTGTTCCCGTTTAAAAAGATCAGCTATTCCTAGCCTACATTTACCTGATTAGTGCTTATGTAATATAAACTTAATTAAATTCTATTATGGTAGAGATTAGACGTAATTATTAATTATATCACCAATCCTTTTCGTCAAAGGAGACATGAGTATGCACATATATATTATATTAATTATGTTTTTATTTTTTTTCTGCTTTGGCAACCGAAATATATTAATTATATAAGTACCTACTACGAACATGGTGTGACAGTAGTTACAGTTACATTATTTTATGGATTTATTAAATAAAACTAATTTCATGTTTCAGGGTCAGCGGTTTCGGTACCTGGTAGTAATATGGAAATGTTGATTAATGAAGGTAAAGAAAAAACAAGATTAATAAAATTATAATCGTTAAAATATTATTATAAAATATGATGGAATTATTATTGTTAAAACACAATTATAAAACACTAGCGATGGGTCGTTGAAGGCTTTTCCGTGTTGAATTACGTTTGTCAACGAGTTAACGTGTTACGAACGTCAACTTTATGAACGATAAATGCCTAAACGTTTTTATAAACGTATGATAATTTACGAACGCGCCTAGGCTGAAATGTTTCATTTCACGCACGAACATGATCATTTTAAGAATTAACAATCCATCGTTTTCTTGCTTTAAAAAATAGTCACATAAAAATCCTTACTTCCTTACTAATATTATAAATAGGAAAGTGAGTTTGTTTGTTTGTTTGATCCGACTTCACGCCGTAACTACTAAACCGATTGCATTGAATTTTTGCAGACGTAAAGTTTAATTAAAAAAAAACAGTAGTAAATGTGCAAAGTAGTAAAATGACCAAGGCGTGATGTTACTATCTATTTGTACAGTTGAAAGTGAAAAAGTAGTTATTGTAGAATAACTGTAGTAGAAACATATTATGATATGATATCCCGAATTTTTAAAATGACATTAATATTTTCTTACGGCTCTTGAGTGTAAATGAAGATAGAGTACAAGTTACCTATGGGAATAAATTAATTTAATGTGCAGACGTAACATTTTTTGTTCTGTCTTTAATAGGGTACTTGACAGGGTAAGAAAATTAAAAATCAATATAGTCCGTCAGCCAGATAATTAAACATATAACACGTTTTTTTATTTTTGTTATATAGGTAAGTAAATAGGTAATAAATTTAAGTCTAGGAGTGGGAGGTGGCTGCGTCACGGTACCCGATATATTAAATCATATCATCGATAAAATATATTAAATCATGACGTCACATAATAATTCAAATCATTTTATCGTCGAAGCATTTAATATTTTAAAATAATCTACCAGCCGGGCCTTAAAAGATAAATTAGAAGGCTACCCTATTGTCAGTCATTCTCATTAGATTGTCTAGATTATTACATTACACCTACTTCAATGTTTTGTAGTCACCTGTGTTCATAGAAATCAGGCAATGAGGTGTCTATACGGTAAAACGTCGGTGATAAAACCGATAAAATAATATTTTTCATCATGGTGATATCTGTTCATGAAAAAATAATTTTTATTGTTTTTCTTTTTCAGATTTGTGTTTTTGAATCTGAAAGATTTACCAAAGTGACTTCCACTTCCACTTCCACAGAGATATATACTAGAAAACTTACACAACATGCCTATACAGGTAGAAGGTTATAATGGATTATAGACATGTATAATTAAAAAAAATTACTTTTTTTACAGCGAGATCTAGAGAGCTAAACACCTTACAAGAACATTCTTACAGCTTGGCTAGCAAGACAAACAAATCATTACGAGACGGTAAATAATATATTATTACAGGATCAATAGGAAAGAACGTTTGCTTTTTATTCCCCACGAGTTATAAGGGAACACTATAACATTCTCATCTATCGGTGGATATTTTAAAATGTAATATCATATTATTTATTTTTATTATTTTTGTATTTTCAGGTCCTATTAAGAGTTACACACAAACGTATAACTGGGTAAAAATAAAAAAGATCGATGCGAAAATTAAAGGTTTGCGGTCGGAGATTAGTCGTTTGCGGAAGAGAGGATTGTCATTCAAGACTAGACTTAGAAATGCCACTAGTATATCTGAAAATGCTGCATTCCAGGAAGTCGTTAAAAGTTTTAAAACACCTGCTCAGTTATTTTGACATATGCAATTGCAATGCACGAAAAATCCTAAGGGTAGGCGGTTTACTATGAACGAAAAAATTCTTGCGTTGTCACTGTACAAAAAAAGTCCAAAGACTTATTCTTTACTAAGTACTTATTTCACCTTACCATCCGCAAAAACAGTTAAACATTTGCTTAGCCGGATAAAACTGAGTCCCGGAATTAATCCGCTTGTATTTGAAAAAATTAAAAAGACCATTGTGGAGAAAGACATTAAGGATCGCCTTTGAAGTCTCATATTCGACGAAATGTCGTTAACCCCTCAAATATTTTATAACACTCAAAAGATGTTTGTGAAGGATTTGCCACAACTAAAACCGCCAAATTTGCCGACCACGCTCTAGTTTTTATGATAAAAGGTATAAAACGCAATTTCAAACAGCCGGTAGCATATTATTTTACAAACACGTTACAAAAATTGGAGCTTAAAAACCTAATTATAAAAGTGACTTCCGAGGTCCAAAAAACCGGTTTAATTATTATAAACTCCGTTTGCGATCAAAGCGCCGTAAATGTAGCTGCGATATCAGAATTAGTTAACGACACCAGAGCGCGATATTTGCGGTTAGGCAAAGAGTGGTACCATGATATATACACTGTGAACGACCAGAACATTATACCACTCTTCGATGCTCCGCATCTAATCAAAGGGATTAGAAATAATTTATTAACTAAGGACATGATATATACGTCAGGTAGCAATAGATATACTGTTAAGTGGGAATATTACTAACAGGTATACGCGGCGGATAAAAGTTATGGAGAACTTCGTTTACTTAATAAAATTACGGAGGAGCACGTCTTACCTGACAAAATCAGTAAAATGAGGGTGAAGTCCGCTACTCAAATTTTCAGCCACAGTGTCGCTGGTAACATCTCATTTGGTTAGCGACTAAGGAATGTGAGCAATGAATTGACCTTAGTTTATTATTAGACGATTTATTTGATAGCTTAAATGTTAGTTGCTTAAATATTACCAATGATAAAATTTATAAAGGGCCGGTTAGGAGAAACTCACCTCACCACCAACTGTGGCAAAAGGCTGAAGAAGTCCTAAAATCTGTAAAATTTATCCAAAAAAAACCGGTAGGAAACAAAGTACGCATAGTGGAAACAACTCCACCATCGGTGATTATGATGCAGTACTAACGCGAAATTTCAATCAGGACCCAGTCGAAAATTTCTTCGGATACAATACGGGAGCTATGGAGCCAGAAACAATGCTCCAAATACAGTAGCGTTCGAAGGGGCCTTTAAAGCCCTTTTGCTAAATAATTACTCTGCTCCTCATTCCAAACACGCCAATTGTAAAGAGGATACAAATGAATGCCTTCAGAATCTGAGCTTCTTTGTAACTGAACATCATAAAGTATCTCTTGAGCAATCAGATGAAGAATAATTTACATTTAGTGAAGAGGTTTTAAATGATTACTCCAAAGAGCCTGATGCAGGTCAAAGAAATTATGTTTGCGGTTGGGTAATAACCAAATGTCTAAAAAACGTGGTAAAATCATGTATACATTGCCGGCAAAACCTTCTCGACGAGAATCATGAAAACAGCAACAATAGTTTTATAACGGCTAAAGAGTATAGGAATAAGAGATGGCTATGTTATCTAAATACGTTAACACAAAACTATTTTCGAGAAATCCAAAAGTTGACGCAATAGTTAATGAAAACGTCGGTTTTTGGGCACATTGGTGCCCAAAAAAAATATACGAAAGACTATCAAGTCGTTTGCAGACATGTTGTTAGAAACCCCATTCAATTGTAAATACACAAAGATAACGTAACAGAATACTTTTTGAATGTGTCAGTCACTGTTATACTGCATAGTTGGTGTAAATCTATTAATCACATTTTAGCGGGAAAGCTCACTGATACCAATGAAGACGAAACAAACATTTCAGCCCAAATGTATTATAATAAAAGTCTTATAAGAACAAAAAGTAAAAGAACATTGCTCTGCGTCCATACATTGTTGGCCCTGGAGCCCCCTACAAGATCTTGTTTTTATAGCGGACTAGCAGTAGAAAACAAATATTTCAATAAAACTACCAGATTTTGAGGTTATAATCTAACCATAACAACTAATATTTGAACGAATGTTGAATGATTGTATAGAAGTAAAGAGGTTTTGATTTATGTATTTACTGTTTTCCAGTTATTCTTAGTTATTAAGTACTTAAATTTTATATTTTTTATGTTATATTTTATATTACTGTATTTACTACCTATTTAAATTGGAGTATGAATGCATTCGTAATGAAAGAAAATAACAATCGATCGATCATAATTGATTGAACATCCCTATTTCACTTTCGACACGACATGGCATAGGACTTGCTGATATTTATTTATTACATGAGGCGAAGGCATTTAACATTAAGCGAACGGCCAACTCAAAAATAACTTTATTTTCTACATGACAAGATTTTCTCTATTTTATGAGACTTGCGGCGTGGAGTCTATTGCGTCGAGCGGCATCGAATGACGCAGCGGTTATCCTACATAATATAATACTTACAAAACGTCACTCGACGCAGATCAAAAGGTGAACCAAAGAAAGGTCCTAATAGGAAGGTTTACTTAAAAAATAAAATAGATTTTTAAGTCACT